TATGAAAATAACGACATCCTTTCCAGCCTTTTTTCTACATCCTCCCCCTAACGTAAAAAGAGTTTAGCCACACTGGCCGCGCCGGCCGGCGCCACCGCCACAAGGTCGCTGGCCGCCGCCGCCGCCGCCGCCGCCGCCCTGCCTCAGGCGTCTGGATCAGCTGGGCCGAGCAGTCAGCTGATTGCCGGCCGGCCGGCTCCGCGGCTCAGGCTCGCCGCGTGGCCCGCTCGGCCGCGCCCGCTGCGAGCCGGTATACCGGCCAAGCAGGCCTGGCTGCAGACTTCAGGTACTCGTATAGCCTGGAGACTGAACACTGGAGGATTTCAGCTGCAGATGAAATAATACGGATTACGGATAACACAAGCGCAATTGTGCGCGCGAGCGTGCGTGCGTGAGGGGAGGGTGTTGTGGGGGAGACAAGATAGACGGTCTTTCTCAGAACGGCAGAGCCAAACATTGCACGTCCGGGCGATACTCGGATCCGGCCTGCTGCCTGGAAGAAGCTCAGCGTCAAAACACGCCCTTCCGCTGCGGGATTAGTCAGACGGCGATAAACTGGCTTCCAGGAACAGTCAGTCATCGCCGTACAGCCGTCTCCATCAACATTCCTCAGCCAGATCAGCTCGTCTGCGCTCTGATCGGCCAAGTTCCGGCCAACAGCAGTAACGTCGTTACGAGGGATGAGTTCGGGAATTCTGACGCAGTAACGGATCGACGCCGCGCGGTCAGTTGATGGCTTCCATACTGCCCGCCGGACTGACCGCCTTCGAAGAAACAGGGAGCATTAAAGTCGAGCTCAGAAACGAAAACGCACACCATCGCCCACCCAGTTCCAAAATGGTACTGTATAATCAAGCTAAATGCTAACAGCAGTCCGAGAAAAACTCCATTTGGAATATAACATCGATACTCCATTTAAAACATAGGCTGAAGACTCAGCAGTTTAGCGTCTCCGGATCAATATCGCCACACTCAGCACCTGTCTGTCCTATCATCCATAAGATTGACCCCAGCACAGGGGAATGCTCCGTTATCCTCTTGTTACCTGTCCCCAGATACGGGTCAGAAAGAGGTCACGGACTCGGGGCGGAGCTCGAGGGCAAGGGGTGTCAGTGGAGTCAGAGTATTGAACAGCCGGTCAATCGAGCCGGTCGATGCTGCAAGGGTCGCGCGGGGAGGGAAGCGCATATCGGCCGGCCAATTGATAGGGGTCCGGAGGAACAAGGCAAAGTCGCCCCAGACAATGGGAGGTCATGAGAGAGATGAGTTCGAGAAAGAGCCGGATAAGCTCGAAGAGCTGGGAAACGTCATAGCAGCAGATATTGGTTATAATATTAGGTCGTTCAATAAGTAACGAACAATCGGTCATAACTTCTTTATTTCTTTATTTAACACTTTCAAACTTTCACAGATTATAGATGAGACATTTCTGAATGCAGCCTATGCCTCAAACCAGCCGCCGCCCGCCTGCACACACTTCTCCCAGCGTTCCGGCCAACGCCGGAATTCCGCCCGGAAAAACGCGTTTTCCGTCTTTTTCACCCAGTTCATGACAGCGCACATGACTTCAGCGTCGGTCTCGAAGTGTTCACCATGGAGGCCATCCTTTAGGGGACCAAAGAGGTGAAAATCTGAAGGAGCCAGGTTCGGACTGTAGGGCGGCTGGGGCATGATATTCAGCCCTGTCACGCGATCTCCTCGCGCGTGGCGTGAGACAAGTGCGGTCGGGCGTTGTCATGGTGTATGGTGATGTTGTTGACATCCGAGCCGCGCCTCTTCTTCAGGATTGCTTTTCTCAGTCTCCTGCAGGACTGTGATGTAGCGGCCCGCTGTCCATAGTCCGCCCAGGTTCAAGAAAGCCCACCAGGATGACACCATGACAACGCTCGTCCGCACATGTCTCACGCCACACGCGAGGAGATCGCGAGACAGGGCTGAATATCATGCCCCAGCCGCCCTTCAGTCCGAACCTGGCTCCTTCAGATTTTCACCTCTGGTCCCCTGAAGGATGGCCTCCGTGGTGAACACTTCGAGACCGACGCTGAAGTCATGTGCGCTGTCATGAACTGGGTGAAAAAGACGGAAAACGCGTTTTTCCGGGCGGAATTCCGGCGTTGGCCGGAACGCTGGGAGAAGTGTGTGCAGGCGGGCGGCGGCTGGTTTGAGGCAAAGGCTACATTCAGAAACATTTGATCGATTATCTGTGAAAGTTTGAAAGTGTTAAATAAAGAAATAAAGAAGTTATGACCGATTGTTCGTTACTTATTGAACGACCTAATAGATCTGGGGTCGAATGCGGGACATGACAGATGAACATATAAAAATAATGAGAACCTATGAAGTTCTTCTTTTGAGAAGTACGTTGATCAGTAAGTTGACAGTGAGAAAGCGATAAGAAAGCAAAAGGGGATGCTAAGAAAACCGCAAATCACATGATGGAAGGCGGAAGCCAATGTTGCTGTTTTTATAAACTCTGATGGAAAATAAACATCATGAACTCTGAGAAAGCTTTAAATGGCAGGAGTGAAGACCACAAATTTCAACCAGCCAGAACGGTCACGAAATAACATGCATCGAAAAGCCAGTCGGATGTCAGAACACCTTAACCTTTGCTAATGCCAACTTTGTTCTGTAAGCAGAATATGTTTCTTTGAAAATCTGGTTCGGACTGGTTATATGACGTGATACCGTAGCGTCGCCATTGGTCAGGACCACACTCGAGGAAGCTCAGCGGACGGAGCTGGGGCGGAGCTCTACCGCAGCCAAGCCGGCGAGCCTGCTACTTATCGTTGTTTACTTTATCAACGACTGCGAGAGAATCCATAAACAACAATTTATGAACCGCGCCCTGTGCTCAAGCCTCTTAAACCTATGCAGGAGTGATAAGTCGAGAGAAGAGATTTGGAAGGCATTGTAGTTATTCGAGGGTAAAACAGAAAAATGGAGATAGAGGCCGTGAGATAAGAGACGAAAATCCAGCCAGTAAGATAGATGGGATGAGAGAGAAGCGAGACGGAGAGAGCTCCAGCACGATTGGATCGTGGGAAGAGGCAGTGAATATTTCCGGACTCTGGGCACGATATCAGATGCACCCAGCGGGCTGAGCAACCGGCGCTGTCACGCATCGAGGATGCCCCCGGGCGGGCGGGCGTATCGAGCGAGCGCGGCCTCCTTCTAGGGTCGCGAGCCGACATCGACCGTCGGGAGTGGGACGGCGACGGACGGACGAACGGAGGGGCGACAGGGTGCGTGCTGAAGGAGTCGGGTGACGGACAGTGACCTTACCACAATAAGGTAAAGTCGCGACCCGGCATACGACAGCGCAGACGATCGGCTTCGAGATGCGTCAAGAAAGCAAAGACAAAGCATAAACAACCATCCAGTAAATGAAATACCATGGACGACGATGAGCTTCGATCATAGCGACTAAAGATGACATCTAAGGCGACAATTCTCTCCGTACAGGTTCAGCAGCATCTCCAACTATCTCCGCGCGATTACCAGTTATGGCCGATTTCAGACTACATAGACGTCACCCAACCATCTCATACAGCTTTCTTGGACGACCTGTGCGTCGACGCGACCCAATGACCTTAAATGGCCCGAGAACCAGCCAAACAACGACTCGCCCAGCCACCAGTCTACCACAGTCACCGCTGCCACCTCCACCCCCACAGCTCCCAGCGCTGCGGCGTTACGCGGAACAAAAGTCACACAGGAGAAACCGCGCGGTGTCTCCGGCTGCAGCGCGAAACAAACAGCCGCTGGCCAGAACCGGTCCGGTGGGGTGGGACAAACCTGCGGCCAGGCACCGGGGCCGTGTCCGGCTCACGGTCAATCTCACCGGCACGAACGGGGCCAGGTGGTCCACTCGGCGCCTCGCCGAGTGGACTGGCGCCCGGCATCAACCGTCAGCTGGTACTGGAGAGGAGAGGAGGTAGCTAACGGGCCGGCCCGGGATGGAACGGGAAGGGTGGAGCTGCAGCATCTCTCCTCACTCCTGAATCCGACCGCCGCGCCGCGCTGCCGGACCGGTGGGATCAGCTGATGAACGGTTCACGTCGGCCGGGGCCGACCGCTGGGTGGTGGGACGCTAGTGGGCGGACGATGGGACGCCGGTGGGCGGTGGGACGGGACACCACGCCGTTGGGACCCGAGGGCCGACCATGGGGCGTGGCCGACCGCCATAGCGGGCTCCTCAGAGCGGCCGGTGGGCGGAGACGCTGTCTGTCTACCGTCGGTGGGACGCGCCGTCGGCCGATGCCAGCCCGGAGACAAAACCGCTGACGTCCCGGATTCCGGTCAGACAGAACCGAAGCGTTCCGGCCACTGAGGAGCCGTCGTCATAAGTGTCACGCTGCCAAGGACGCGCCGCAGCTGACACGACGATTATTTTATCTGTCGAACGTGGTACGTGCTCAGCGAATTGGTATCACTCGTGCGTTACTTCTGAACATTTGCAGCTTCAGCGTAAAGGGAAATGTCGCACAGCAGCTACTCATTTACGCTCACGCTTGCCAAATTCTTCGGCATGGAGAAGAAATCGCACGTAATGTTTCTGTGTGCCAAGTATCATCACTGTGGCCGGAACAGCATAACATCAGCGCAAGAACGGCACCACGGCGCTAAATTTCGCCGGCCAGTAAACCCTTAAAAAGTAGCACCATCCCTTGTCTACCCCGACCACATGTCACAGTAACAAGCACATCACATTCACACCCGTCATCCCACCACACAGGACAGCAACAACTGCCATCAACAACCCACTCTCAATACACCCACTAGCAATTCGAACAACTACAACCAATCTCGAACACATACCTCATAATCAACAGCCCACTATCACTCCCGTACCGTACCACCACAGTCAATCACATCAAGGCCAACTTCGACGAACACCAGCTCACAACTCTCGGTCAGCGCATTACACACACGTGGTCAGAAGAGAGACACAGCGAGACACGGGACAATAAAATAAGACAGGCAGGAGCATCGCTTACCGTGGGTGCCCAGTTGACGGTAGAATCTGTACTCTAGGTGAAGCTGAGGAGCCTTCGACTTCATGGGCTCCTGTAACACGCCCGGGCCCGGTCAGGTCAAGTAGGGGTCATGAGAGGTCATGTGTACTTATTGAGATGGAGAGAGGTTGTGTGGCGATCAGGACAGGCTTGTTATGGTTAGTCTAGCGAACACGATAGGAGTTGGTGCTAAGCTAAGTTCGAAATCATTGTCACAAGAACAAGTATATCAATCAGTGACAGTTTATAAGTCAGGGACGTAGAGATAGCAGCCTGTAACCATTACGTCATTGATAACAGAGTGTTCCGAAAATACGTGCTTACAGACTACAAAGTCTATCGCAATGAACACTCATATAGCTTATTGTATCAAGTTCAGAATCAAAATAAGGATGACGCATGGCTGTCAGCAGCTAATGAAAAATAACGAAAGACGATTTTTACAGGTAAATAAGCCATGTGACACAACGCGAAATACCAAAGCAAAACAAGACTTTAACAAACAACAATAAAAGCGATGTAGAAAAAATGATAGAAACGAGTCACGTGTGCTAGTTCTTATAGAACAGAGGAAAGTTAGTACCTAGTCATTCCACTTCTCCATGGCTATACCAGTCTCGAGACAATCACATCACTATGATCAAATACATGTTTAAAAAGAAAAGTATAACATATGCGAGCACGACGGAGTAAACCAAGCACGATTTTAGTCCACATTTACCCCTAAATACATACCACCAGCCACGATCAAACAAACGCAGGAGGGACATAACTACGTTTGTAAATGTACGGACATGACGTGCAGACCCCGCAAAAATAACCTACGTAATAGTTCACATGAAACGTGACAGATAGGCCACGCCAACTGTGATGTATGTACTTTGCACTAGGAACACGTAACTTTGTCAGGATTACCCCCCCCCCCCCCCATAACGCTTACAGGAAGGGAGAGGAGAGGGAAAAGAAGCGAGAGGAGAGGGGGTATAGTTCAGGACAACCGACACGACATCACACAGAGCACAAAACCTCCGTCAGCCATCACCAAACCCGGCTGAACTGAAAGCCACTGTTTATACAGCCACCATATCGCGGACGGCCGTACGGGTCAGGGCGGGGGCGGGGAAAGGGCGAGGGTGGGATCACGCGTCTCACAGAGGTCAGCGAACTGAGAGAGCGCGGTCAGGCCCGCTTCCGGTGCATCGGAGAGGCGCGGTGGCCCGACGCGAGGTGATCACGACCTGGGCGAGCCACAAGGTCCCGGAGCGGCGCAGCTCCAGAGCGGCACGACCTTATAGGGTGGCACGAGCACAACATTTCGGAGCCACGTGGCTTCAGGGAGTGACACAGCCCCAGTGACAAGAAACCAAAACCACACAGCTCCAGACAGTCAAAGGCCCCGGCAAGCAACACAGACCAGGAAATGTCCGTAATTCGGACCCTAGAGATCAGGGCACACGGCAAAGAAAATGACACGGCCCCATGAGAGCCACGCGGTCCCAGAGAGCCCCACCACCTCAGGGCGGCATAAACCTTTCTGCGCTTTATCACGCGGCAACTGAGATACATTACAATGCCCGCCACATAGACACAGATAATAACTACACGCAAATCACAAAACACAACAAATCAAAGGGGGATTCGAGGATCATCGATCGAACAAACGCCAGTAACGGCCACACTGAGTCACACGTAGCGTGGCCGTTGTTAGCGCATATTCGATCCACAGAAATGGGCTCGGGTCAAACAGCTGTAACTATCAGCTGACAACACAACAAACAACTGCAACATCTCACACAAACATCACCCCTCCCCCCTCCCCACCGGCCACCCAGCCGCCGCGGATCGCGTATCTCTCTACTGACGTCAAACCACCGCTCCGGTAGCAATCAGCAGTGCCCGACTTACCAGTTTGATAGCGACGTGCTCGTTGTTGTAGATGTTCTTGCCGAGCCGCAGCTCGCCAAAGTTGCCGCTCCCGATCTTCTTGCCGACGCGGAAGTTGGGTCCGACCATCAGCACGCCGGAGCCGCCGGAGCCGGCCTGGCGCGTGCCTGTGCTGTGCACGTTGGTGCGCGCCGCGCCGGCCGGCCGCGAGGCGGAGTGCCGCGCCGTCGGCTCGGCCGACGCCTTCTCCTTGCTGTCGCGCTTCTGCATGCTGCGCGACTGGGCACTGGCACTAAAGTATCGGGAGGCGGCGATGCCGAAGTGCGACACTTTGTCGAGCGGCGCGTCACTGGGTGGTAGCTAGTGGCGGCCGCGGGGGCCGGCGGCCGGCTCTGTGCTCGGTCGCATCGGTGCGCCGCCCGGGCCCAGCCGGCGGCGGACGGAGGACGCCGATGGCCGCTCACACGCCACGAACGGAGCGGCACGAGGCTCGGACACCCGCTGAAACAGGACAGAGACGAACGTCAGACACATTACATACGAGACTCGAGCGCCTGATGAGATATGACACAGCGAATGTCAATAGCTTGATTTGGGGCTCGAATAGAGTGAGCGGAGGATGGCCAGCACGAGGAGGGAGGGAGGGGCAGAGGGGTGGGAGGAGACCCGAGTCGTGGCGCGCGGTTGACGGCTCGGGTCCAGGGACGGGGAGGGGACCGGGCCGCGGCCGAGGCGAGATAAGGCACACACAGTACACACGGGGAGGGAGGGATCTGCCGTAAAACAGGTCAGGCAGTCCAAGACGCGAGCTCAGAGGCGGCGGAGGCGGACAGTGCAGAAGGGTGGAAACCAAGCGACAGGCTGTGGAAAATGGTCGTGGTCTCGGAGGCAACGGGCAGTCGAGAGAGTGGAAATCGAGCGAATGACTGTGTGATATGAGCGAGCAGTGGGCGATGACGGGAGACAGGTTTGTGGCACGACAAAGTAGCTGGTGCTCAGCAGAGGGAGCACAAGGGAAACATACATGGCCGGTAAGTCAGGCTAGCGTGCTAGCGAGACTAGTGATAAGGGACCTGCATGGTTGACCCGCTCAAGAGTAAAACGAATGGAATATGCCGTGAACGAACCCATACCAGAGGGGTGGACCATTGTGCAGAGACGCACTTGGCAAATGAGTGTACGTATGTATGTATATGTTAACAGGAAAGCCGCAAGGCACATACGAGACTCTAGGCATCAGGAACATAACGAATCGGCTCGGCTGACATGACATGTGCAGCGATGATACGCACTCTGGCTGGCAGAGTGCGCCGGGGTAGAGCGAGCTCAGCTGGCTATTTGTGCCGAGTTGATCGTATTTTAAGTGTCGAGAGAGAGAGAGAGAGAGAGAGAGAGAGAGAGAGAGAGAGAGAGAGAGAGAGAGAGAGAGAGAGAGAGAGAGAGAGAACATAGTGGCCCTCGGCTGGATGTGTTCGCCGGGGTAGGATCGCGATCGGCTGGCTATGTGAGCCGAGTAGATCGACATGGTAAGTGTCATAGTGGCCCTCGGCTGGATGTGTGCGCCGGGGTAGATCAACCTTGGCTGGCAACGTGCGCCGAATAGATCAATCTAGTGTCACTCTGTCGTGCGGCAACCCCATCCCGGCTGGCTGTGGGCGCCGCGTGGTCCCGCTCGGCTGGATGTGTTCGCTGAGTGGTTAGTTCTTGTGGGTCTCCCGGCTGGATGTGTTCGCCGGGTGGTCCCGCTCGGCTGGATGTGTTCGCCGAGTAGTTAGATCTCGTGGGTACCCCGGCTAGCTGTGTGCGCCGGGTGGTCCCGCTCGGCTGGATGTGTTCGCCGAGTGGTTAGATTTCGTGGGTTTCCCGGCTAGCTGTGTGCGCCGGGTGGTCCCGCTCAGCTGGATGTGTTCGCTGAGTGGTTAGTTCTCGTGGGTCTCCCGGCTGGATGTGTTTGCCGGGTGGTCCCGCTCTGCTGGATGTGTTCGCCGAGTGGTTAGATTTCGTGGGTTTCCCGGCTTGCTGTGTGCGCCGGGTGGTCCCGCTCGGCTGGATGTGTTCGCTGAGTGGTAAGTTTTCGTGGGTTTCCCGGCTAGCTGTGTGCGCCGGGTGATCCCGCTCGGCTGGATGTGTTCGCCGAGTAGTTGACCTCGTGAGTACCCAGGCTGGCTGTGTGCGCCGGGTGGTCCCGCTCGGCTGGATGTGTTCGCCGAGTAGTTAGATCTCGTGAGTACCCAGGCTGGCTGTGTGCGCCGGGTGGTCCCGCTCGGCTGGATGTGTTCGCTGAGTGGTAAGTTTTCGTGGGTTTCCCGGCTAGCTGTGTGCGCCGGGTGGTCCCGCTCGGCTGGATGTGTTCGCCGAGTAGTTAGATCTCGTGAGTACCCAGGCTGGCTGTGTGCGCCGGGTGGTCCCGCTCGGCTGGATGTGTTCGCCGAGTGGTTAGATTTCGTGGGTTTCCCGGCTTGCTGTGTGCGCCGGGTGGTCCCGCTCGGCTTGCTGTGTGCGCCGGGTGGTCCCGCTCGGCTGGATGTGTTCGCTGAGTGGTAAGTTTTCGTGGGTTTCCCGGCTAGCTGTGTGCGCCGGGTGATCCCGCTCGGCTGGATATGTTCGCCGAGTAGTTAGACCTCGTGAGTACCCAGGCTGGCTGTGTGCGCCGGGTGGTCCCGCTCGGCTGGATGTGTTCGCCGAGTGGTTAGATTTCGTGGGTTTCCCGGCTTGCTGTGTGCGCCGGGTGGTCCCGCTCGGCTGGATGTGTTCGCCGAGTGGTTAGATTTCGTGGGTTTCCCGGCTTGCTGTGTGCGCCGGGTGGTCCCGCTCGGCTGGATGTGTTCGCTGAGTGGTTATTTCTCGTGGGTCTCCCGGCTAGCTGTGTGCGCCGGGTGATCCCGCTCGGCTGGATGTGTTCGCCGAGTAGTTAGATCTCGTGAGTACCCAGGCTGGCTGTGTGCGCCGGGTGGTCCCGCTCGGCTGGATGTGTTCGCCGAGTGGTTAGATTTCGTGGGTTTCCCGGCTTGCTGTGTGCGCCGGGTGGTCCCGCTCGGCTGGATGTGTTCGCTGAGTGGTAAGTTTTCGTGGGTTTCCCGGCTAGCTGTGTGTGCCGGGTGGTCCCGCTCGGCTGGCTGTGAGCGCCGAGTAGTTAGATCTCGTGGGTCTCCCGGCTAGCTGTGTGCGCCAGGTGGTCCCGCTCGGCTGGATGTGTTAGCCGAGTGGTTAGTTCTCGTGGGTACCTCGGCCGGCTGTGTGGTTCAGGTGGTCCCGCTCGGCTGGATGTGTTCGCCGAGTGGTTAGATCTCGTGGATCACCCGGCTAGCTGTGTGCGCCGGGTGAGTGAAGCACATCTGCTTTCGGCTGGTTGTGTGCGCCGGGGTAGATTGAGCTCGGCTGGCTATGTGTGCCGAATAGATAAAGCTAGCAAGTGTCACACTGTCGTGCGGCTATGGTATCCCGGCTGGTTGTGTGCGCCGGGTTGATCGAGCTCGGCTGGCTATGGGTGCCGAATAGAAAAAGCTAGTAAGTGTCACAATGTCGTACCGTGCGGCGATGGTATCCCGGCTGGTTGTGTGCGCCGGGTAGATCGGATAGTCAGCGTCACGCTGATGTGAAGCCTGAAGCGTCATAGTTCATTAACTAAGTTCAATAAGTTTATCATTAGTTCATCAAATGCATCATACTGCAAACCCTTCGACTCGGCTGATCGCAGGGAGCGCTGTGGCACCATTTTGAACCCATTTTGAAGCGCACACACACACACAGTCTTATTGCGTGCCAAGTTATTGGTTGGAAAAAAAATGTAGTCTGACCTCATTTGACCCGACCTTAGTGTTTGAAGCATAGGTACAAATCACGTGTTGATATAACTGAGGTGGTGCAACATAGAAGAGCTGAATTGGAACATATATCTTTCATATGTATAATTTGCAACATTCTTGCAAATTTTCTTCGAATGCGTCAGGTCGCTGGATGACCTCAGGTCAACCGAATTTGGAAAGTGGAATGCATGTAACGGCACTCGATGAATTTAGCGTGTCCTGGGAGTTTGAATCAAATCGATGAACAACTCTGGTTTTCATGGAAATGGTGTTTTCAGTGCCATTTGACGATGTACCGTTTTGTGACCTGTTAATGGCCGTCTGCACCCAAATCGTGTTATCGTTCATATCACGATCGATAACAAGACGTGGGCCAACGACGAGTGTGTCTATAGGACGGCATATATATGTACGGATTGGAAGTTCCTATTGGGGAGGGTGGGAGGGGACCATTTTCCACAGCCTGTCGCTTGGTTTCCACCCTTCTGCACTGTCCGCCTCCGCCGCCTCTGAGCTCGCGTCTTGGACTGCCTGACCTGTTTTACGGCAGATCCCTCCCTCCCCGTGTGTACTGTGTGTGCCTTATCTCGCCTCGGCCGCGGCCCGGTCCCCTCCCCGTCCCTGGACCCGAGCCGTCAACCGCGCGCCACGACTCGGGTCTCCTCCCACCCCTCTGCCCCTCCCTCCCTCCTCGTGCTGGCCATCCTCCGCTCACTCTATTCGAGCCCCAAATCAAGCTAATAGGTGGACCCTATTACTGATTGTCGGTTACTGATACCAACCCATCCAAAGATCTGGGGCACGACACGAGAAGATCGGAGCGGGGAAGGATGGGACTAGCTAACTGGAACAAAACGGCAGGATGGTCACAATCTGCTGCCAAAACGTCAATATCTCCCGACAGGTCATTCTTTATCCCGTCGCAGAGATTAATACCGTTGCATCAGGCGACCTCGCGTGGATCGACCACAGGCCGCTACGCAGACCGCCGCCAGCCGAAATAGACCAGCACCACTGTCACACTCCAGTGAAATAGCCATTTCGTCAGCGGGTACGGGCCCGCCCACTACCGCTACTGGTCAGTCCCCTCACATCCCAGCATTGCTCTTGATGCAGAGAGGCTGGTGGGTCACGCCCGCGTTAGCATCGGACATGGCCAGACTAGGAACGATACGAGGCCATTATCCTCGACCGATAGATCGAGTTCTCGTCCATCAGACAACTGTATCATGAAGACCGTCCAGCGCCTATATGATTAGAGAGCCACAGATAGTGATGGTAACGAGTAACGACTCCTTACTGGCTCTACCTCTGTCTGCATCCCTTACAGCAAAAGCCCAACGCAGCGGCCGAGCGCCGGCAGATCAGAGGGCTAGCGGCAGCACTACCTCGTGTTTCCTGCAATGCAGTCTACCTTCTGACTGCGTCGGCCCAGGGCCGTTGGCGGTCACGGAATGCAAAGCGCCGCAATTTACTGGTTATCACGAGGGCGTGCCGCCACTCCGGCCCGGCGAGCGGTACAAACCGATCAACGGGTGCCGACTGGGATAGCCGAGCGGCAGCCCAGACACGCTACCGTACGTCCCAGAGCAGTCGCGGGGTGGGGACGAATGGGGAAAGGAGGAAAGGGCAGCGGTTGTGGGTAGAGGGCACGGAGATTGAATGCTAGAGAACATAGGAGACAGCATGGTGCCAATAGGAAAGACGACATAAGGACAATCAGGAGAGGAGACATGGGAGTGGGCGGAGAAATGGGAAAAAGAACGAGGAATACATGGGTCGGCAAGGGGCAGGCGGCGGAATACAAGGGAACGGAAAGCCGCGAGGGAAACACCAGCGGAACATATCTACGGCCGAAACAGTAAACCTGTGGCTGTATACCACGCACAGTGGTATACAGCCACAGGTGAAACGACAGCCCACGCCCCACGGACAGACGAAGCAGCGGCGGACGGACAGAGCGGCCCCCACTCGGCGGAGCCGACACGGCTGCAGACCGGCCGGCGTGGTGAGGGTCGCTGGACGGCGCAGCGCTGAGTCACATGGTGGACACCTCCAAGGCCGACCGCGGCCGCCCGGCACCCCGCTCGGCCGTCGCCGGGTCGCACGCCCACTCAGAGCCCAGTCGCCGCGCGATCGGGGTGGGGCGATAGACCGTTTACCGAAAAACTGCCAGGCCGGTGCTGCTCGGGTAAAACCCGCGTGGCAGAAAACTCGCCAATTAACCATCACTATCCGCTCACCAAGCATGCCGACATTGGTAAGACGATGAAACACGTGAAGCGTTAACGGAATACCGATCGCCCACATAGCACGGAACAATAAATAACCGGACTGGACACCACATGAATATGCAGTGAGCACGAGGCCGGCAACATGGGACCGACCCTTCGGCTGAGGCATCGGACTGGAATGGTTATTGGACGACACAGCACCTGCCCGACCATCCTGAGCATTTTCAATTTCAAATGATTCTCATTTGCATTCTCCAATATTAAATTGTGCCACCCTAGCTCTTAGTTTTTCTTCTTTTAGCAAAGGCGCGGATATCATTAATCTCTGTTGGGGATTTGCAAAATTTGACCTAAGATCACCTTCAGTGACCTGAATGGTCAATGCTAGCCTGAGATAAAAATGATTCATATACATTTCAATGTTTGTTTTCAGGTGAAACGACTCCCAATATTGACAGGAGTGTCGATCAGGGTGACAGGCACCACACCCTCCTGGCGACTTTAGAGTGTTCTTGCAAAGTGGTCAGACAGACTGCTGGCAGCTTACCCTAAAAAAAAATAATAATAATAATACAATATAGCCATGGGTTCTGCATCCACTACAGCACAATACCAATTATATCCATGCTAGTGTGGAAGATACTCACAGCCTGGTCCAGATTAAAGTACTAAGACCTCAGCCCTCAGGAGTCAGAATCCACATGAACTGTCAGCTTAAGTCTCAAGAGTAAGAAGTAGCAGCAACCTCCAAGAATTCATACATTGCATCCTGTCTGCCATCTGTCATCTACTGATTATTTAGCCACAGCTGCTGTTGTACCAGACAATGGTGGAGCCCCACCTGAAGTATGCAAGCCTAGCAGGGAGCCCTCCTGCCAGGAGAACAACCAGAAACATATTAACAGGGTGCAAAGCAGAGCCACAAAGGTGGGGTGACTGAGACTGGCATTGGAATCTGTAGATTGCCAGGAGCAGGCTCCCCAGAAAGTGGTTCTCCAAGTTCAGAAGAAATACTCCATGGTTGTGCTCCCTTATTTGATGCAGTGTTATCAGAGCAAACTCTGTAAGAGGTAAAGTTTTGATTCTAGCATCAACAAGAACAAAACTTGGTACAATTGAGATACTGAGGGGAGAGAAAATGACTGATATTGTCCCTTTGATCAAACAGGGGCTTGACAAACAATACATATACATGTAAGTTTGCACAAATTTTGCATGTTGATTAGCCAGTTAAAAGGAAAACTACTACAGTTATAGCTCATGTATATGATGGTTTACATCAAATTGATTATAACGTGATTATAACTACATTATTGTATCATACCATATTACCAGCATGTGGACATCGAGGACTTCTGGTAGTAGTAAAGCACGCATCACACTTTTTTTTTGCAACCAAGGAGAGGCACTGTAGGTTAGGTTGTAGGTTGTAGGCTTTGGTTTGGTAAAAGTATACACTGAGTCTGAGTGACTGTTAAAAGATAAAGTTTTCATATTCTTACATTATTTGACATCCTGAATCCAAAAATGATGCTTATATGTCTTGGAAATAAAAGAAAAAACATAATCAAACCTGACCTAACCTTACCTATTTACCTACAACCTACCAACCTTCAACCTACAAACCTACAACCTAACCTAACCTAACCTACAAACCTACCAACCTAAAACCTAAAACCTACAAACCTACAACCTAACCTAACCTAAAACCTAAATTTTTGCTGTTACATATTTGTATCAACAGCGTCACAATTGTCCACTTGGACCTAATATATACTAATACCTTTGGTTTTAGGTGATAGGTTGTAGGTTGTAGGTAAGGTTAGGTCAGGTTTGGTTTAGTTTGATTAGAAAGCATCTCTGGGTATAGCGCCTGTCCTTGGTTGCAAAAAGCAAGCGTGACATCTGCTATACCAGTAGCGGAACACCTTCAGTTAAGGGGGGGGGGGGGGCACTGCCGACTTTTGGTCCTATTCTTTCCATGCAGCGGCCATAGGGCTAATGTTAAAATGCTAAAATCAAAGGGGGCACGGTGCCCTGGTGCCCTCCCCGTTCCGCCGCCTATGTGCTACACTGACACGACTACTGGACTTGTTCTATTAAATTTAGAATGAGGGGGTTTAGACTAAAGGAAATTGTTACTGTGAAAAACTAGCCATTAATGCAGAAAACATTGGGCTCAGTTAAGAATCAGCTGATTTTTCATGCAGGTTTCATTATTATCACATGGCAGGTCAAACTCAAATTTTGGCCTTTTAAACCTAAGGGCTGAAACATACCTAGTTTCCGAGGGTGCATCACAATTCTGCACCTCCCATTGGAATAAATGGCATATTTTCAGCTACAAGCTCCCAGCTCATTGGGATACGAATTAAGAGTGGAAAATGTCATGAAGGTACCTGAATTCCACTAGGAGGTGCTATGATGCTACTAGAATCATTGAAAGGCCTAGTGATAGCTGGTAGTACCTGAACAGGACGGAACATGCAGACTCCACCAGTCACTGCAATGCTTCAGTTTAAACTCAGAGTTAAAAACTCATCACTAAAATCATACACAAGCTATAAACACAATCCACCTTTCACCGGTACCCCGCGCAGGTCCACGACCTTCCGGGGCGCGGACTACTTCGCAACTGTTTTCAGCTGTTGCCCTGCCGTAGCGGAGGCTTACCGACCGCGAAATATTTAAGACGCATGTCATGGCGACAGCTCATTATCAAGTTCTTATGGATGCCATCATATTTCTGAAATGAAATATAATAATTTTAATAAGACTGAGCTAGCCGTCACACAAAGAAATGTTAAGAAGTATAGTACTATTTTCTTGGTGATGTGATTCCAGATTTTACAAACTGAAAAACGAAAAAATATTCCAAATAGAGAAGTTTCGTTTGACGTATGAACGACGCTTTTAAACATTTTCCCCCAAAATAGAGTTTTAAGCTGCTTTATGACGAATCACGTTTCTCAATCACTCATGAAAAGTTGCTTAGATCAGCTTGACGCTAGACCAAGACGCTAGACATAAAAAAATCACAAGACGTCATATATTTTCCCTTCTTTTTGTAATATAGTGGTATGAACATGTCTTTAAATTTCATGTTTTGGGTGAATACTTGTTCAGTTTTCTCCTACAAGCGAATAAACAAATTTGAAACCTTCAAAGTTAGCTTCATGTGAGCTTCATCATCGCTTTGTCGAAAGAAGTATGTATTGGCAACCCGGTTTACATAGCATATTTGACGAGGCTCTAGCTCGTTAATTTGGCGATAATTTCGTTGCAGTGGTCTTCAAATATTTAGAGGGGATCATTTTGTAAATTGTTAAGCACCATTGGCATCTTTTGCAACATCACGGACGAAGATATAAGCTTGCAACAAACCCTATGTAAACCGGGCTTATATTGGTAAAATTTCCAAATACTTTCAGCCTAGTTTAATCTGGCATTTTCCAGTAGAATAAAGAATATACTAAGCTCTAAGGCATATACTGCGCAGCAGTGACATAACATGCGCAAAGTGAATCAATCTTCGGTCCCGACGGTTCCGATAAATGTAAACAAAGGGAAATGAGGGCTGTTCACGACGTCGGTTTATGTGGTTTACATAAACTGCCCTCGGGGCACGTTCCCGGCTGTGACGTCACATGGTGTTTACGTTTACGAAACACAAGTGTTTACTTAAACAAGTGACAACTAATAAGCAGTTGAGATGACGCTGTAAAAGGTGCAAAGAAAAGATAATCTGAGGGCTGTTCACGGGCCCTGTGTGCGGTCGGACCGCACACAGCCTCCAAGCTCCGCCCACTGCGTCCCTACGTCAGCCATCCGTCACCGCACACAGCGATCGCTGTGGCCGGTCGGGACTGGCCACAGCGGACCGTCCACCGCACGCAGCCGTGACGTCAGAACCGCCTACCCATCCCCTACCCCCACGCCTGCTGGACGCACCGCACACAGCGCACGCAGCAGTGTGCGGTGCCCGTGAACACCCCTCTGATGGAAATATGTCCCATATCATGACATATCAGTTGGGCAAACTAGACCTTTGGAATCAAAATATGGAGGCATCAAAAGATTGATTCCTTATGACCATATTTGGGCATAGATGCAGACCATTTCTAACTTACCAATCACATAAAAATAAGAGAGTGTTTCAAGAAGGAGCATGCCTGATCTTGAACAGAAATGCTGGAATTATCTCCTAAGCAAAATAATATTGCTCCTATCATAACAATTTGAATTCTATGGGTAGTGAAAGGCAATCAAGGAATTGATTCACTTTGAACAGATAATCATAATATTGATTCCCCATCAGCTGGCTAATCATTATTTTGATTCACAGGTAATGTTAACAGATAGGCAACAATTACTTGCAAGAATACAGCATTTATCTTGCTATTATTCTCATTTAGTGGTATCCTCAGCACCACAACAGATACCTATAGCATTGTTGTACTTTACCTTCACTACATTTGATAACAATTCACAATTTTTAAATGTCAAGAATACAAAAACTGAAGCATCAGGTAAAAACCATATAATAAATATGTAAGCACTACAACAATGATAATTAGGGGTTCAAAAATTTCATTTTGCCATTTTACACAAATACTGATTGTTTAGTATGCGATTCATGATACAAAAATATGATATAGTGTGATTTCCTCAAAACAGCTTTTACGTGATGGACAGTGCCTCTGCCTTTTTCCCATTCACAAGGCCAAAGGGACAATTTCTTAGTTTTGAGGTAACACTTTTTACAAACCTACCACATTTTTCTACCTTTTTAAAGAAAAATCTCACCGTCATGGGCCTTTTTTCAACCGTAACGATACATTTGAAGTCAAAAGTGTACCCAAATGAATCAAAATATTGATTCCATGCCCATATTTGGTCATGGCTCCTCCCACCAGAATCAAATTATTGATGCCTCCATATTTTGATTCCAAAAGTCTAGTTTGCCCAACTGATATTGCGAGAATAAGGACAGTTTTCATCACAAAATGCCCACGACGCTAGACGCTGGTTAGCAGATAACGATGCTCAAAATAGGTCTTAATTACAATGAAATAATAAAACCTACCATTCCAGTCCTCTGCAACCCGTGTAGGGTTATTTTGAAACTCATTTACTCACCTACCAGCCCCTGAACTGTCCGAATTCAAATTTCCTTACTCACAACTCGCCTCACAAGTTTGCCGCACATCGCCATCATTGTCACATAAACGCGTTTACGCGCCATGTTGATGCTCTGAGGCATCAACCACATAAACGGTTTATGGCGGAGGTCTGACGTCATTCCCGGGATGTGACGTCAGGATCAGGTCGACGCTGATTGGTCCTTCAAAAAATAAACATGTTTACGGTTTATTAAACGAGATAAACCGACGTCGTGAACGGCCCTGGTTATCTCTGAAGCGAGCATAGAGTCAAATAACATTTTTAAAATGCATCTGGTAAATTGAAAACATCACGGCCACAAGTTTCTGAGTAAATCTCAGTTTTGTGAGTTGTTTCACTTTGAGATTTTGACTTGGGCTGACAACTCAAACTGAGGCCAGCTTGCAAGGTGAGTGTCACTTTCAATTCAAGGTTATAGGTCACTTTTTGAACATAATTGACCTCATAGGCGTAGGAACAGGGGGGGGGGGCCAGGTGGGCAAGTGCCCACCCACTTTTCGAGGTGGGGGGGGCAACTATGTGTTTTGGCCCACCCACTTTTTACTAGAGGCCCCTCGTCTCGATTTGAGAGGACGTCATCACCTTCCAGAATAAACAAACTCGGTAAAAATAAGTTCCACGAATCCCCACACACGGACTCCAAGGGGCCGTAATGGATCCAAGGAGGCCCTCTGTTCATACTTGTCAGCTTCAAAGCCCCTGAGACTGATGGCCTGAGAGGCCCTAGTGGATCTAAGGAGGCCCCAATATCCACACTGGTCTGGGGAGGCCCCTGACACTGGCGGTCTGGGAGGCCCCTCTATCCACACTAGTCAGAGGTCTGAGACTGGTGGTCTGGGAGGCCCCTCCATCCACACTAGTCAGAATAGGCCCCTGACACTGGCGGTCTAGCCGAGGCCCCCTACCCTCACTAGTCAGAGGAGGCCCCTCTATCCTCAATAGTCAGAAGAGGCCCCTGAGACTGATGGTCTGGGAGGCCTATCCATCTACACTGTAGTCAGAGGAGGCCCCTGAGACTGATGACCTGAGAGGCCCTTATAACCTCACCAGGCAGAAGAGGCCCGTGAGACTGATGGACTGAGAGGCCCTTCTATTCATACTGGCAACAGGAGACCCCCAAAACTTTCGGTCTGGGAGGTCCCTCAATCTGGCACCATTCAGAAGAGTCCCCTGAGACTGATGGCCTGGGAAGCCCTTATATTCACACTAGGCAGCAGAGGCCCCTGAGACTGATGGTATGAGAGGCCCTCATATTCACACCAGTCAGAAGAGGCCCCTGAGGCCGGTGGTCTGAGAGGCTCTTATATTCATACTGGCCACAAGAGGCCCCTGAGACTGATAGTCAGAGAGGTCCACTCCTAATGAATCTGAGGGGGCCCTCTATCCACATTTACACTTTTCTAGGGAGGCCCCAAGACTGATGGTCTGAGAGGCCCTTTTATTTATACTGTGCACAGGAGCCCCCTGAGATTAATGGTCTGAGAGGCTCTCCTATTTATACTAACCAGAGGAGGCCCCTAGGATTGATGGTCTAACAGGCCCTTCTATTTATACTAGCCAGAGGAGGCCCATGAGACTGATGGTCTGAGAGGCCCTTCTATTCAAACTAGGCAGATGAGGCCCCTGAGAATGATAGTCCGAAGAGCCATGCGGCGGCAACTGGCCGTGGCCATATTTCGGCTCGGTAGGGCCCCACAGAGCTCATGAGAGCACCTCAAGGGCTCCTAAGTAGACACGCTTATCCCCATAAGGGTGCCACGCCGGCTTCTGAAGGCTCCTTGTAGGCATCTAAGGGCCCTTTCCGGCCTCTAACGACTCCACCCGCCTGTGATGGCTCCACACCAGTGTTTATGAGCGCCACACAGCGGCGCCTTTGAGGGTCATACTAGTGTCTCTTAGGGCCCTATATCGGTGGCTCTGGTGGCCCCACACCGGCGTCTCTGTGGGCCACCACACCTGTGCATCTCAAGGCTCTATAGGTACATCTGAAGGACCCACATCGACACCTCTGAGGGCCCCACACCAGTATCTCGGAGCTCTGAAGGCCCCACACCGGTGACTCTGAGGGTTCACCGGCTCCTGAGAGCACCATGTTGATGTCTAACGGCTCCACAAGGCCACTGAAGGCACCACACAAGCTCTCACTGAGCTCTAATGTCCATGTACCGGCCTCTGAGGGATTTAAGCCAGCGCATTCATAGCTCCACACCAGCAATTGTAAGGGCTTCACACTGAAGTATCTGAGGGTTCCACACCGGTGTCTCTAAGGGCCACATACCGGTATCTCTGAGGGCCCCATACCGGCGTCTCCGAGGGTTCACATCTGGCGGGCACCCATCAGCGACTGAAGGTCCCACACTGTCGACTCCGAGATCCCCATCTGCGTCTGGGAGCACCATGCCGTCTCTAAGAACCACAGCGGCTCCTCCGTACAAAAGATGGGCGTCTGCATGCCAAAGGGGATCGGTTCTGAGACAGTAGGACACCTACGTGCAATAGAGGGCATAGGCGACGGAACGATTTGAGACAAGGGGGGGGGGGGGGGGGCACCAGCTCAAGGAGCCAAACCTAGGGTACCCCCAAATCCTGTTTTCACATCGGATTTAGGCCACTTATTTTTCGTCACAGCCCGACACGATTATTTTTTTTATTTTTTTCTATTTTTTCCCTGAACGAAAATGGCAGTTCACCCCCGTATGTGTGGTTAACTTTAACCCTCGCCGGCACAGGGGGGGGGGGGGGGGGTTGATGCAACCCCCCTAAGGTTTTTCGCGAATAACTCGCGTAAAAAGCGGCCGATCGCGACGAAACTTTCAGTACCCTCGCATTGATCAATTTTACAACTACGCTGAAAATTTCATGACCCTGACCCAAATGACCTTTGACCTGTGACCTCTTTTCCGAGACCATGTTTGGCCGGAATCGCGATTCGGCGTATGTCGGCTCGCATTAGCCGCGCGTTTGCAAGCTTTTCGTGGTTTCAAACGTTCAAACATGTGATTTGATGTTGCTCCCATACATTAGGGTGGGTGTCAAGGTCACCTGAAGGTCAGGTCAGGTCATTGACCTTTGGTGACCTCTGGTGACCTCGGTTCACTTTTTCGAGTTTTACATGTTTCTAGGCTAGTTTTTGGAGCTGAATTCGAATTTAGCAACCATTTGAACATTTACGAAGTAGTTTTGGTGCCTTCGTAACATGTTACGAAGCTGTCAGAGGCGGTTGACACGTATTACGAATACCCGTCACAACCCCTACCGGTTGACCTGACCTGACCTGACCCGACCTGACCTGACCCGACCTGGTCTAAATGCTTAAAGACATCATCTCTGATCAAAACTAACACGATATTCGTGATCAGCACCCCGGAAGACCACATAGCAGCCACACTTTACGACTTTCTAACAGGTCCCGATTTTCCCGGTTTTCGGGTCATTGACCTGACCTGGAAGGTCACCCAATGACCTAGGACCTTAAAATTGGGTATCATCGGCTTCCTCTCGTGACGGGCAACACGCTCGTTTTTTCCGCGAAGCTCTAGCTCGATCAGGGGCCAAACGCGAGGGAGGGGTCGTACCACCCCCCCCCCCCCCTTGTGCCGTCGAAGGACGCAAAATGGCCTGTGCCGGCGAGGGTTAAGCTGATCCTAAAGTACCTATGTGTTTGTCTCTTCCTTATTGTCGTTTGATAAATTCCATTTATCCTACATGTATCAAATTCCCAAGAAGCCACCGCAGTACTTATCAGTGGCGAATCCCAGGGGGAGGTCACACACATGGGTCATGACATAGGGCTTGGGGTCACCACATGCCTGCCAGGAGCACCACAGGCCCGCCAGGGGTACCACAGGCCTAGCAGGGGCACCACGGGCCTGTCAGTGGCACCACAGGCCTGTCAGGAGCACCATCGGCCTAGCAAAAGCACTACAGGTGTTCCAGGGGCACCACAGACCTGCCACGGGCACCAGAGGCCTGCCAGGGGCACTATCGGCTTCGCAGGGGAACCACCGGCCTCGCAAGGGCACCATGGGCCTGTCAAGGGCACCACAAGCTTGTCGTTGGCACTTTAGGATTGTCAGGGGCACCACAAACCTGTCAAGGGCACCTGCGTTCTAACAGGGGCACCACAGGCTCGCCAGGGGCACCACAGACCTGCCAAGGCCCAGGGACACCACAGGCCTAGCAGGGACACCACAGGCCTGTCAGGGGCACCACGGGCCTATCAGAGCCCATGGGCACCTAAGTCATGTCAGGACCCACCGTAGGCTTGTCAGGGGGCAGGGTAGGTAGGTACCACAATCTTTCCAGGGGCACCAGTGACCAGCGGCCTAGCAGGGACACCAGTCATCACATGACTAACCAAAAATAAAGAAAATAAAAAAACTGAAAATAGGGCACCACCAAAATTAAGTGGCCGAAATCCGTTGAGGTTTCAACCTTCCAGGCGGTGGGGGGGGGGGCATTTTTTTGCCCCCCCCCCCCCTTTAGCTTTTTCGATATATCTCGAGAACCGCTGCGCCGATCGTCACCAAACATTCAGTACCCTCCCGGGAGTAGCTAGCGCACATGGTGATCAAAAAGTTTTTCCCAAGGCTTTGATAGGTTGGCCGCTAATGACGTCAGAGTGACGTCAATTCTGCCATTTTCGACCCAAAAAAAGGTTTCGCGGGAAGAGCTGTCAGGCCTACCGCTTTAGAGATACAGAAAAATGTTTCAAACATAAAAGGTGTGGAATTAAGAGGGCTACAAAACAGCTGTTTCGGTTTTTCGAATTTTTTGGATTTTGACCAACAAAAAGCAAAAAATAGATTTTTTGAATATAATAGCCGAAAAATCCAAAAAGTTTTTTGAACTTCGAAAAAACCGGGATAAATGTGATAGTCCCTACCGAATTCTATCTACATACCAAATTTGAGATCGATACCTCTTTTGGCCAAGTTATAGCGAAAAAACTGTTCAAAATTGATGACGGCAAATTTTCAAACTCAATTTTTAGCAGTTCTAGACCTCGTAGCGCAAAACAAAGACCACCATTAGACTCCCCGTGACGAGCTGCATCGAATCAATACCCATTTTATGCAAAAATATCAACTTTGAAATTTGACCTTTTTTGACCTGACCTTGACCTGACCTCCACCAGAAAGTGACCTAAACCGTACCTGATGGTCTTATAACCAACACCATTGAGTTGGAAATGAAAAACTGGCCATAAAACATGCATCGCACAACCTTAGTAAAGTTGGGTTCATGTGGTGACCCTTGGTGACCTTTGGTGACCTGACCTGTGACCTGACCTGGTATGACCAGTGACCTCTAATAGCAACATATGTACTAGAAAACTGACGTCCTATCGCTGATTTTCGACAAAATGCGTTTTACTCGGTGTTACAG